TTTCTTTGTCTCTTTGAACAGTTCTTGTTTTAAAGCTTATTTTTTTTTCAGAAATTAGTATCACAACTCCAGATCTTTTTTGGTTCCCATTTGCATGGAAAACCTTTTTCCAACCCTTCACTTTCAATCTATGTATGTCTTTCTCCATGAGGTGGGTTTTCTGTAGGCAACAAATAGAGGGTTTCTGTTGTTTTACCAATTTATCCAGTCTATGTCTCTTGACTGGAAAATTTAATCCATTAATAGTCAATGTTATTATTGAGTTACCAGACCTGTACCAACATTTAAGTTGGCCATTGTCTTAGTTATCTTTTATTTCTCTGTTTCTGGCTCTTAATTATATAGTTTTCCTGGAACAGTACTTTCTTCAGGGTTTCTTGAAGAACTGGTCTGGTGTTTGCAAATTCTTTCAGGTTTTGTTTGAGAATTTTATCTTGTTTTCCCATATGAAGAATAATCTTGCAGGATATAATAATCTTGGTTGAAACTGTTTCTCTCTTAATACTTTCAATACGTCTTCCCATTCTTTCCTTGGTTGCATCATTTCCATTGAGAAATCTGGTGTTTTCCTGATGGGGTGTCATTTGTAAGTTGTCATTTCCGTCTTGCTAGTTTAAGTATCTTGTCTTTAGCTGTGGTCTTCACCAGTCTGGCTAAGATCTGCCTTGGGGAAGATCTTGAGTTGATTCTATTTGGAGTCTTTTATATATCTTGGGTCTGTGTGTTTGAGTTTCTCACTCGACTTGGAAAATTTTCTTCCAGGATTTCATGGAATAGATTTTCCATGCCATTATTAGTTTCTTCACTTTCTGGGATACCAATTATTCAGATGTTAGGGTGTCTAATGGGATCTAATATTTCTTGTATATAACCTTTGTTTGTTTGTTTGTTTGTTTGTTATTTTCTCTATCCTTTTGGTGGTTTTCTCTAGGTCAGAGGTTTTATCTTCTATTTTAGAGATTCGATTTCTAGTATGGTCTAATAGACTTTTAATATTTTCAAGAGAGGAAAGTCACAGAATTTGGTCACCATGTATGTTCTAAATTCTTTCTCTGACATTTTGTATTGTCCTCCCCTCCCTTTTTTTAAAGAAATGTAGGAGAGTCAATGGAGACATATTTCCTGGTTTATTCGGACCTGAGTCTCTTTTTCTACTTCTAGCCATTGGGATATGTATTCACTTTGGAATATCTTTTAGGAGAATGTTTCTTTGACTAGGAGAAAGTGTGTTTCCCTTTCACTGTGGACTGAAGACTGCTGAGTCTTTCTTCAGTTGTGTTGAGCAATGAGGTGTGAAGTAGAGTATTCTATTCAGGTGTCTGAAGAAAAGTATCTCCTTTTCACAGGTTGTTCAGTAAAAGGGAGGACCCCAGAGAGTCTTACGATACTAGAATATTTGAGAGCTATGATTCTAGACCTATCTAGACTGTCTGGGAGGGTGGAGGAAGAGGAAGAGAGGACCAAATAAAAGGTAAGAAAGTAAGGAGAATAAAGAAAACATCAGGTATTTTCCCAGGGGTCTGAAGGTGAAAGTGGGGTCTGCTGTAAAGATGAGGATGGTCCTGTGTGGTAAGGAGAAATGTGAAATTTACAAATGAAAGAAGAGGAAAAGAAAAATATCCCTACTTAACTGACACAGTATAGCGGTCTCTGGGATTGGGGGGTGCTGGGGCTGGAGGTGGGGCAGCAGGCCCTGCCTCGGTGTCTCTTTGACCAGGAGTCTGGAGATGGAAATGGAGTCTGCTTGTTATTTTCTTCATTACTACTGTGTCCACCAGTGTAGGAATTTTAGGAGGAGTATTGAAATTAGATATATGAAGGAGAGCCTCCCTCCTTTTACAAGCAGTGCTCTGAGGGACAAAGAATTCTCTACAACTAATCATATGTAGATGTTTAGTTTCTATGCACCTAGTCTGGTCTAGGCAGTGGGAAAAGACAGAGAAAAAAACACATCACAAAGAAGAGAGAAAGAAAGAAAGAAAGAAAGAAAGAAAGAAAGAAAGAAAGAAAGAAAAAAAGAAATAAAGAAGAAAGGAAGAAAGAAAGAGAGAAAGAGAGAAGAAAGTGGGTTAAAAAATGAAAACCATATGGTGCACAAGAGCTGTGTGATGGTACAGTACAGGAGAGATGGAGCGGCCAAATGGATTCTGTCCCAGCTGAGGGAAGATGATTGAAATTAGCAACTTTAAAGTACAAGGAGGAGATGAAACCAACAGATAGTGTAATGGTTATATTGTTGTACTCTCACATAGATAACAATGGTTCGAGTTCCCTACCTAGTGGCTTAAACTCATTCTGGGAGTGTGTGCATGCATGCCCAAGATCCTGTGAGGAGAATGGAGGAGAAGGGATTGTGCCACGGCCATCCCCCAGCGGGTGATTTCTCATTTTTGTCTCTCTCTTTCTGGTAAGCGTGTGTGCCATATAGCAAAAAACTCTCCAAAAAATAAATCAATTAATTAAACAAACAATAAATAAATAAATAAAGCACAAGGAGGGTACAGAAAAGTTTTTTTAAAAAAATAGAAAGTTGGAAGGGACAGAAAAGAAAGAGGTGTACAGGTCTTTTTCTACCTGGCTAGCACTGTGCTCTGGGAAATAGAGGGACTTGCTGGGAAAGCTTCAGAGAGATAAAGCTGGACCAAGAAGGTACAAAACATCAGATATGTAGCTGGTTAGATGGATTTTGTCCTGGGTGAGAGAAAGACAGAGATTAGCAATTTAAAAGCAGAGGGAACGGGAAATTAAAGTTTTTATTATTTTTAAAATTTTTTTATAGGAGAAAAAAGTTGTAAGTAGCAGGTCTTTTCCTACCTGGCTAGCACTGAGAGCTTGGGGTAATAGCTGAGGGAGCTTCACATAGGTGAAGCTGGACCTAGAAGATACAGGACATCAGAGATAGCTTCTGGCCTAGTTGAAAGAAACAGAAAATATCATTTTAAAAACACCATAAAGGGTACCAAAATGCTGCTATTTTGTTTTTGTTTTTATTTTTACTTTTTAAAGAGAAAAAAAGGGTACCAGTAGGTGGCATGGTGGTTAAGGGTGCTGGACTTCCACATGGCTTACCACAGTTCAAGTCCAGATCTGGTGTCTTGTATTCTCATATTCCCTCACTCACTAACTCTTTCTCTATTTGCTCAAATAAAATAAATAAATAAATAAATAAATATTTTTCCAAAAAAGAGGAAAAAAAGTTGTAAGAAAAGAGCAAGAGACAGATGCAGAAATTTTTGGCTCTGGGGGGGTGGGTGGATGATCTAGCTGAGGAAGCTTCACAGAGGTGAAGCTGGACCCACACGTACAGGAGACAGAGATGAAGCTGGCTATATGGATTTTGTCTTGGATGAGAGAGAAAGACAGAAATGAGCAATGTAACAGCACAAGGAAGGGGACAGAAATGTTTTTGGTTTTCTTTATAGAGGAAAAAAGGTTCAAAGAGAAAGAAAAGAGCAAGAGTGGGATACAGATATTTTTGTTTCTGGCTAGCATTGACCTGATAGGGCTGGAGGTGCTGCTGGTGGAGCTTCACAAGGTGAAGCTGGACACAGAAGGTAAAGGAGAGCAGAAATGGAACTGGCTAGTTGGATTCTGTCTTGGAAAAAAATAAATAAATAAATAAATAAATAAATAAATAAATAAATAAATAAATAAATAAATATTTTTCCAAAAAAGAGGAAAAAAAGTTGTAAGAAAAGAGCAAGAGACAGATGCAGGTATTTTTGGCTCTGGGGGGGTGGGTGGATGATCTAGCTGAGGAAGCTTCACAGAGGTGAAGCTGGACCCACACGTACAGGAGACAGAGATGAAGCTGGCTATATGGATTTTGTCTTGGATGAGAGAGAAAGACAGAAATGAGCAATGTAACAGCACAAGGAAGGGGACAGAAATGTTTTTGGTTTTCTTTATAGAGGAAAAAAGGTTCAAAGAGAAAGAAAAGAGCAAGAGTGGGATACAGATATTTTTGTTTCTGGCTAGCATTGACCTGATAGGGCTGGAGGTGCTGCTGGTGGAGCTTCACAAGGTGAAGCTGGACACAGAAGGTAAAGGAGAGCAGAAATGGAACTGGCTAGATGGATTCTGTCTTGGATGATATAAAAAGACAGAAATTAGCAATTTAAAAGCACAGAGTAGGGGACAGTATTTTTTTTTTTCTTAAAAAGAAATTAAAGTTAGAAAGGACAGAAGAGATCAAATGGGGGTGCAGGTCTTTTCCTACTTGGCTAGCGTGGGTTCTGGGGGCTGGAAGTGCTGGTTGGGGAAGCTTTACATAGATGAAGCTGGACCTAGAAGATGCAAGATGGCAGAGATGGAGTTGCCTAGGTGGATTCTGTCCTGGGTGAGAAAAAGACAGAGAAATGAGCAAATTAAAAGAACAAGGAAGAAGACAAAAAAATCAGTTTTTTATTAATAAAAAGAAAACACAGATAAAAATGTTGAAAGGGACAGAAAAGAGCAAGAGAGGGACTCATGTCTTTCCAACCTGCCCAGCAGTGGGCTCTGTGGACTGGATGGGCTAGCTGGGGGAGCTTCACAGAGGTAAAGCTGGACCCAGAAGTACAGGACAGCAGAGGTGATGATAAACTGATAAGATTCTATACTGGAGTAAGAAAGAGACATATTTTAGCAATTTAAAAGCACAGGGAAGAGGATAGTAACTTTTTTATTTTAAGAGAAAACAATTGGAAGGGACAGAAAAGAGCAAGAGGGGGGGTGCAGGTTTTTGCCTATCTGGCTAGCACTGGGCTTTGAAGGCTGGGGAGTTAGCGGGAGGAGTTTCACAGTTGTGAAGATGGATTCAATAGGCACAGGACAGCAGAGATGGAACTGGCTAGTTGGATTCTCTTCTTGATGAGATAAAGAGAAATAAATTAGAAATTTAAAAGCATAGGAAAGAGCAAAGAAAAGCTGGAGTTTTTTTAGTAAAAGAAAAAAATGTTATAAGGGAAAGAAAAGAGCAAGAGGGGGATGGAAGTCTTTACCTACCTGGCTAGCACTGTGCTCTGAGAGGTGGGGTGCGGGCTTGCTGGGGGAACTTCATAGTGGAAAAGCTGGATACAGAAGGTACAGGAAAGCAGAGATGGAGTTGGCTAGATGGAATCTGTCCTGAGTGAGAGAAATAGATAGAAATTAGCAATTTAAAAGCACAGGAAAGGGGACAGAAAAGCTGTGGGGTTTTTTTGTTTGTTTTTAATTTAAAAAATTTAAAAAGTTGGAAGAGACAGAAAAGAGCAAGATGGGTATGAAGGTCTTTTCTTACCTGGCTAGCCATGAGATCTAGGGACTGGGAGGACTAGCCAGGGGAGCTTTACAAAGGACAAGGTGGACTCAGAAAGTACAGAAAAACAGAGATGGAGTTGGCTAGATAGATTCTGTCCTGGTTGAGGGAAACAGATGTAAATAAGCACTTTAAAAGAACAGGAAAGGGTACAGAAAAACTTTTTAGGGGAAAAAAATTTGGAAACTACAGAAAAGATCAAGAGGGGGATGCAGTCTTTTCCTACCTTGCTAGAACAGGGCTCTGGGGTTGGGTGCTACCTTGGAGAGCTTCTCAGAGTTTGTGAAGCTGGACCCAGTAGGTACAGGACAGCAGAGATGAAGCTGGCTAGATGGATTCTATTCTGGGTGAGATAAAGAGACAAAAATTAGCCATTTAAAGCAAAAGTAAGAGGACAGAAAATCTTTTTAAAAGAGAGAGAAAAAAATGTTGGAAGGGGCAGGAAAGAGCAAGAGAGATCAAGGTCTTTTTCTATCTGGGTAGTATTGGGCTCTGGGGGTGAGTGAGCCAGCTGGGATGTCGCTGACTATGCTGAGCAGAGGAACACTGAATTGCAGAGAAACTGTGGCTCATTCCCTAGGACAGAAGCCACAGGATTCTGAATTCTCAAACTTTAGCATTTTCTGAAACAACCCCTTTTCTCTTGTTCAACTGAAGTTCAGCCCCAGGTGCACCTGTTCTGTAGAATATGGGGGACCTTGAATTTTCTATATCCAGAGAAAACACCACGTAGGTTCCTAAGTGAGTATCAAAGAAGTTGAGCGCCAGAGAGATTGCTCATCACCACCTATTCCTGCTTGCCTTTGAACACTGAGAATTAACTTGAAGAATTTAGAAGGAAACATATAATTCTCCTAATGTCTAATAACCATTACAGAGACAAAGGAAATGTGAGAAACCAAGAAAATATGTTTCCCCACCAGAAAGTCAATTCCTCATCATCCATAGACAATACTCTATGACTCGTGGAAATTTCAGATAAACAACTTATAATATTTATATTGACAAAATTAAATGAGATGCAAGAGAAAAAAGGCAATGAAATCCAGAAAATTCAGGTGAAAAGGAACAATAAACTCCAGGAGATGATATACATTTTATGATTTGAAGAAGAAATAGATGCCATGAAAGAATCAAAAGAAAATGTTAGATATGAAAGGTGTAATGCAGATAATAAAAATCTCCCTTGAAAGTACTAAAAACAGATTGGGGTGAAACCAGGGACCTGAGGCATGGCTAGTCACTGGCCACAGCCCAGCTCTCCAGACTTCAGAGCCCCCTCTGTCCATAAGCCCACAGGTAGCTTCCACTTCTCCAACAGAACACAGTTCCATCTCTAACCACCTGGCAAAATCAGGGACCCAGAGGAAGGGCTAGTCACTGGCCACAGCCTAGCTTCCTGAACCCCAGAGCTCCCCCTGTCTCTAAGGTAGGCAGTTTTTTCCCGTGTTCTCTTTTTTCTTTTGTTAATCTCCTACTGCTCCTTAGCCCACAGGCAGCTTCCACCTCTCAAACAGAACCCAGTTCAATCTCCAAACCCCGAACCCTGACACAGGGCCAGTCACTGTTCAAAGCCCAGCTCCCTGAACTCCAGAGCTCCCCTATCCTTAAGACAGGCATTATTTTATTCCTCTATCTCTTCTTCTATTTCTTTTGTTAATCTCCTAGTCCTTCTCAACCCACAGGAAGCTTCCACATCTTCAACAGAATCCAGTCCAATTTCTAACACCCTGGCAAAATCAAGACTCTGAGGAAGAGTTAATCACAGGCCACAGCCCAGCTCCCTGAACAGGAGAGCTCCCTGTGTACAAAGTAGGCAGCTTTTTGTTTGTTTGTTCTCCCCCTCCCCTGCCCACCTCTTTCTCTTCTTTTTTATTCTTTTGTTCATTTCCTACTCCTTAGCCCATAGGCAATTCCCAACTCTCCAACAAAACCAAGTTACATCTCCAACCCCCAAGTGAAAATGGGAAACCTGAGGCAGGGCCAGTCACTGGCCACAGCACAGATCCCCAGTCCCAGAGAACCCCATCTTGTAAGGTAGGCAGTTTTCCCCCTTTTTCTCCCCTTTCTTTTGTTAATATCCTACTGCTCCTTACCCCATAAGCAACTTCAACCTCTCCAACAGAACACAGTTACATCTCCAACCTCCTGGCAAAACCGGCAACCCTGAGGAAGAGCCAGTCACTAGTCACAGCCCAGCTTCTTGAACCACAGCACTCCCCATATTCATAAGTTATGCAAATTTTCCCCCTCTTTCTCTGCTTTGATTTTTTTTTTTTTTTTTTGGTTAACCTTCTACTGGTCCTTAGCCCATAAGCAGCTTCTACCTCTCCAACAGAACCCAACCCCATGGCCAACCCCCTGATATTGTAGCCCCTAGGGCAGGGCTAGGTACAGTCCAGCTTCTTGAGCCCCAGAGTTACCCCTGTCTGTAAGGTAGGCAGTCATTTTTTCCCTCATTCTCTCCTTTTTTCTTTTGTTAACCTCCTATTTCTACTTAGCCCACAGTCAGCTTCCACCTCTCGAAATGAACCAAGTTTTACCTCCAACCCCCTAACAAAACCAGGGACCCTAAAGGGCAGAGTGGGTTACTGGTGACAAACTAGCCCTCTGAACTCAGAGCTGCCCTTGTCTGTAAAGTAGTCAGATTTTTTTTTCTCTTTCTCATTCTCTCTATTTTGTTAATGTCCTACATTTCTTTAGCACACAGGCAGCTTCAAACTCCCCAACAGAATCCAGTTTTGTCTCCACCCCCTGACAAAACCAGGGATGCTGAGGCAGGGCCAGTCACTGGGCACAACCTAGCATGTGAACTCAAGAGCTCCTAGTGTCCATAAGATACATAGGGTTTTTTTCCCTCTTTCTCTCTTTTTTCTTTCTTTTGTTAATATCCCACTCCTCCTTAGCCCACAGGCAGCCTCAACCTCTCCAACGGAACCCAGTTCCATCTCCAACACCCTGATGAAATCAGAGACCCTGAGAAAAGGCCAGTCACTGACCACAGCCCAGTTCCTTGAACCCAGAGCTCTCCCTCTCCAATAAGGTAGGCACTTTTTTTGCCCTCTTTCTCTCCTTCTTTTTTCTTTTGTTAATCTCCTACTCCTCTTTAGCCCAAAGGAAGTTTCCACCTTTCCAAGAGAGCCAATTCCATCTCGAAACTCCTGACAAAACTGGGGACCCAGAGGCAGGGTCGGTAACTGATCACAGCTCAGCTTCTCAAACCCCAGAGATCTCCCTGGTTATAAGGTAGTTTTATTTATTTATTTTTACAGTTTCTTGCCTTCTTCTTTCTCTTGTTAATCTCTTACTCCTTTTTTAAAAATTTTTTATACATTCAATCACATTATTTAGCTTACAAGGTGAACATTTCAATATGTGAACATTTCATTTCAGTCCAGTTGACCAAAATATCTTCAATAAATAACACCACACCTCCCCGTCCTGTCAATGTTCTGCCTCTGTATCCCTTCCAAATGTCCTTCCTCAGGCCCCACTCCTCTACACACACCACATCTGGCATTCACACCCATCACCTGTTTGTACATCCTTCAGTCAGTGAGTCTCAGTCATAGAGTGCAGACTCTCTGTATATATTAAGTGGAGACTTACAGTGTCTCTTCTTCATAGCCTGGCTTGCTTCACTCAGCAGTAAATCTTCCATATTCTACCACTTTTTGTCAAAAGCCAGGGTTTTGTTGGTTTTTATGGCTAAATAGTATTCCATGAAATATATGTGCCACAGTTTTTTAATCCATTCATCCGTATGGGGGCATTTGGGTTGGTTCCATGTCTTAGCAATCGTGAGAAGTGCCACAATAAACATCAATGTGCAAACACTTTTCCAATGAAGAATTCTTCTGTCCTCTGTCATTCTAACTTACAGCTCTCTGTCCTCTGTGGGAAGCTGCACACCAGCGAGTCTGCCGAGGTTTCTCAGAGAGCAAACAATTACCATGATTGGTTCCCTCCCAAAAACCTGACCTTCAAAACCTTGCTCTGATTGGCCACTAGAATCCCTCAAATTTGCATATCCAGCACCTCATGATTGATCCAAAAGCAACCAATCATAACC